CCCGACACGCGTAGCACAGCGCCCCCCGACGCAACCACGCGCGCACTAGCGTACAACGCATATTCGCCACCGAACACAGCCGCGTCCAGCGCAACACCGCCACCGACAAGCTCCAGCACGGCGCCGTCCACCACCACCGTCCGCCCACCAGTCATCACGGTCACGAGGGCCACGCCGGACACAATCAGCACGGACCGCACGAGCCGCAGGCCCGACAGCACCAGCACCGGTGCGTACGGCGAGGACTCCGAGCCGGAAAGATACACAAGCGGCGTCGGCCTCGCGGCGACCAGCAGGGAGTCCGTCACCGTCAGCACGGACCCCGCAGGGAACGTGCCGGTCAGCACAAGCGCACCGTTCAGCGCCTCCACATCGCACACGGACAGCTCCACCGGCCCGCTCTCGTCGCTCCCCGCCGCACGCGCACCGCGCAACGCCCCGCCGCCCATCACGCACAGCACGGCGCCGTTCAGCAGCGACACATTCTGCACAACGATCCGCACGCCGTCTCGCGCCATCCACGGTACGTAGAGCACCGGACTCACGCCGTCCAGCACAACGTGGCGCAGCGTCACCTCGCTTGCGCCGGCAGGCACAAAGAACACCGACCGCACCGTCACGCTCTCGCGGACAAACACTCTCGACGCGGTGCCCACAACGGGCGGCAGCGCGGAAGCTCCCACAGGCACGCATGCCTCACCGTGCCCACCGCTGCCGCACGCGCACACGCACACACCGTCCTTCATGCTCGCCGACGCAGTCCCGGGCGCGTAGCAGTGCGTGTCCCGGTCGCAGGCGTCGCACCCAGCAAAGTCGATGCTCCCAGCATCGCCAAAACCAGCCGCTGCGTACTCCTCCGCCGTCGACAGGAAACGTCCACCAGCGTCGTTGCACGCCACTCTCAAATGCGCCCCAGCCGCAAGCGACAGGCTCGCCGACAGCATACGTGGCAGCAGCGCTCGGTTGCGCACAAAGCTCAGCGTGCTCCCAGCAGCGGTCACGGCGCCAGCAGCGTAGAGCATCTCCCTCGAGACGCCGTCGTGCACGTTGCCCTTCGCCAGCAGCATCGACCCGTCGGCCAACCTCACCGTCGAATAAAACGCCACCGCGTAGTCCGCCGTCGACAAAAATTCGCTCCGCACAAGCGCCACAGCGGAGCCCGAAAAGCTCACAGCCCCACGCACAGACACCGCGTGCTTGCACAGCAGGAAGTCGTTGTCAACAAAAGCCACCACGGAGCCGCCACTGGCC